AAAAAAAAAAAAAAAAAAGAAAAGTATGGGCGGCGCCTGTGGCTCAAGGAGTAGGATGCCAGCCTCATATACTAGGGGTGGCAGGTTCAAGCCTGGCTCTGGCCAAAACTGCAAATAAAAAAAAATAAAAGAAAATAAGACCATTCGTATTTTCACCCTCAAAAAGGTAACTAACTTTTACTATTGTCATATCTGTTCCTGTTCTGCCTTTTTTTTTTACTCTTCTGTTATGATTTTTTTTTAATTAGATCATAATTGTGTAGATTAATTCTATCATAGGATACAGTGTGTTGCTTCCATATACAGTTTGGAAAACGCTCATCCAACTGGCTAACACAGCCATCATGTCTTTCTCATAATTGTCGTGTTAAGACATTTATATTCAACCTTTAGACAAATTCACATGTACCCTAATAGGATAAATTATAGGCGTGGTCCCCACAATATCATTCTCTTCACCCATCTTCTCTCCCCCTCCCCCCCTCCCCTTTCCCCATAGTCTAGGGCTCCAATTTTTTTTTACTCTTTTGAAGTCACACCAGTACTGTAAGCACAAGGTCTTTCTTAAAAACACATTAGAAGTTTTTTTTTTTTTTGTGGAGACAGAGTCTCACTTTGTCACCATTGGTAGAGTAGTATGACATCATAGCTCATTGCAACCTCAAACTCTTAGACTCAAGCAATTCTCTTGCCTCAGCCTCCCAAGTATACACCAGCCCCGGTGTATGTGGCCGTACCCTAACCACTGAGCTATGGGCGCCGAGCCTAGTGTCAGCCCTTTTAAAACTTTTTTTTAGAAACCATAGCAGAATACTAAATCTAAAGCAGTACCTCTCTTTTCTCTGTCTCATAACTTTTACTCTATCTCAGATAACATGCATAAAGATATTTATAGGGATTAAATAGATAAAACATTACTGGAAAGACTAAAGACATTATGAAAAAGAAAGCTTGTTTTTAAAAAAAACACAATACCTCAGAGACTTCCTCTATGTGCTTAGAAGACACCTGCCCCTCTGATACATGTAGTAGCTGAAATGAAGCATACTTACTACAAAAATTGGTAATGCCTGCTGTCCTATATTCCTGAAGCCTTTTGATTTCCCTCCGGAGTTCAAATTCCACTGTTCTCCCCAAAAAGAATGAAGGAAAAACATTAGAAAAAAAATCAACATCAATGAGTACCTTTGATATTGAGTATTTTTGGTAATTCTGCCTTACATAAAAGATTTGATAATTTCATTTGGGGAACCCTATCATTGGTAGCTTCTCATTAGAAATTTTACCCACAAGCTCAAAGAAACATAGTCTAGTTGTCTCCTATCTGCTGTCTCCAGCGGCAGCAGCTGAAACTCTCCTAGAAAACTTAGTGAAATGGCTGAATTCATTTGTCTACAAAAGGAACGAAGATAATATTTTAAATAACCAAGTTTTTCTGCTCTACCTATCTCTGCTGGAAGTTCTACCCACATGACCAAATTCTCTTTTTGGAGACAGAGTCTCACTTTGTCACCCTTGATAGAGTGCTGTTGCATCACAGCTTATAGCAACCTCAAACTCTTGGGCTCAGCTGATTCTCCTGCCTCAGGACAAAAACTCTGTGCTCAAGTCTCAGGTAGCTTCTTAATCACTTTTTTCCTATAGGGACAAAAGAGCATTGTATTTTCCATAAACCAAAGCTTTCTGCCTCCTCTGAGCACACAGATCAGGTTGCACTGGTTAGGTTATTATGTGATAAAACATTCAAATTTGGGTGCTATTGAAAGAGCTGGACAATCCATGGAGTGTCGTTCTCAGGGGTGACACATAAACCAAGGATGAGACAAACTGGGACAGGAAGTAAAGGATCAGTCACCCAGAACAAACCACAGAAGAATACCAACCAAACAAGGTATCTTGTGAGGACAACAAACCTGGCTTGCATGAATGTTCCCAATGCTATGTAGGAAACGTTCACATGATGAGGACAGGAGTAAGAGGACTGGTAAAGTACCATCCCCAAACTAAACTTCAGAGCCAAATACACAAATTTCATGATGGAAAGTATACAATGAGCCATCAAGTCTAAATTGGACTTACTGCCATAACAACTGTAACTTTTTATAGTGAAAAATCAAATGGTAACTGAGTAAAGCTCTCTCAGGAATACCAGAAAAAGACAAGAAAGTAATGGAGTCTTGCCTCCATGAGTCATCCAACTCTGCCTCACCTTAAAACTAATAATAAGAAATTTATGAATAAAATAATATGATTTCTGGAAATTTACTTCAAAATAATCCAGTTGACAGCAGGAGGGGAGTGGGTTGTAAAGATGAAATCAGACTAGCCATGTGTGGATAACTGAAGTTGGGTGATGGGATACATGGGGCTCATTATATTATTATTTCTACTTCTATAAACACTTGAAAAGTTCCATAAGAAAAAGTAGGGAGAAAAACTACTAAACTGCTGTTTATCTGAGTAAAAAGCAAGCCATTAGGCTTATTAACCTCTCCTCTCCCACCCCCACAGTACCAAATTTATCTCATGGTAATAAAGGGGAACAAAGACAGAAATATCCATTTATTTATTTATAGAACTTCACATAAAACACATCATTACCTCTTCTATTTATATAAATACACAAACACACAAATGTTTGCTGTCTCAAAAACCACCTTACATGCATGGCTTTCAATGAACTTGTCATGTTCCACTGGCCCGACAATCCTTGCAAATCGCCTCATTGTTTCATAGAGGTCTTGGACCTCCTTGGGATACCGCCGTTCCATTACTATAGAGAAGGTAAAACACAACCATGTCATGAAAAACGTCAGGATCACTGAGTTTTCTGCCTGTTTTTGAAAGGACAGTATTCTGTATGACTAACTTACCCATGACAGGAAGCAAACAGGAAACGCAAGAATGCAAAACACTAATTATCCTCACAACATCATAGCTACTACCCCACGGGGATGTTGTTACCACCAGAGATCATGTCCATTGCTGAGCTCTACTAGTCTCCCACATCTCATTGTATTTTAATCTGCGGTAAGGGCTGCCAGCAGCAAATGAAAAGACAGTTAAAGGCAGATCTTGGGTGGCACCTGTGGCTCAAAGGAGTAAGGTGCCAGCTCCATATGCTGGAGGTAGCGGGTTCAAAACCCAGCCCCGGCCAAAAAAAAAAAAAAAAAAAAAAAGGCAGATCTTGCATTCTTAGCAACAACAGTGGCCAAAATTTATGGCATCAGTTCCCGCAGGAAAACAAAGACATTGCAGACACAATAATCCACCTTGAAGAATATGTAACTCTCCATGTCCTACCTGAAATCTTCTTCCTACCTATACATCCGCAAATGAGATATCTATTTCTTCATTCTCCATATGGGTCATTTTGCTTTTCTCTAACCTAAATCAAGTATTACAACTTAACTCACTACTGAAGTTATATTTGACATCATTATCATGCAAGTAAATGGTCATATATTCAAGGCAGCCAGGGCCAGCAACTCTGGATATCACCACTGACTAAACTTCCAATCAAAAGTGGTCTCAGTGAAGATGGGGAGTAAAACTGACCAACAATAACTGGCAGGTCCAAGTAGCCAGAACTCTTAAACTTCTATTTGGTCATTTCAAATTGAAAATCAGTAGTGCTAGGTTAGTAATATCTACTCTTGGGACTAACGATACAGGCTCTCACTTATGATAGTTATTTAAATTATAATAAGTCCTCCCTTTAGGTGAATTTCTTACCTTGCAAGAGACATTCTTTTTTTTTTTTTTTTTTTTGAGATGAAGCCTCAAGCTATCCCCCTGGGTAGAGTGCCATGGCATCACAGCTCACAGCAACCTCCAACTCCTGGGCTCAAGC